TTTGGGGGTTTAGGGTTTAGCGGTTTGGGTTCAAGACTCCCTTTCGGGGCTTGAGCTTAGAGTTCGACACCTTCACTCGAGCTACCTTCCTCGACCTTCTGGGAGTCTTGGACAACATCCTGGTTTCCCCAGTGACAGAAGTAAGGTTTACAGCGCTTCGGGTTTTTCAAGCTGGAGGGAGAGTGCCATTCATCCGGGAAGGGCCCCCTATCCTGTCGCACATTTCTCTAAACTAGGGTCCTTTTACGATCTTTTTCAGAAGGGTACCGTACTATTTCGGGGACATACGCAGGGACCTAATTTAGACAACTGCCCGCGTAGCCTGTGCAAAGCATGGCCCTTCATCCAGCGCTAAACCTTGTAACTGCCAGGGGCCGAGACTCTCACGTTCTGTAGCGCTGAAACTCTGAACCTTAAACCCCTAACCCCTAAAGCCCCTAAACCCTAAACCCCTAAAGCCCCTAACTACACCCCTAACCCCAAAAGACCCTAAACCGTTAAACCCCTCAAGCCCCTAAACCCTAAAACCCCTGAAGTCCGGGACTGCGCAAAGCTGTTGAGACGCCCTAAATCCCAAGATGGATAAGCGTCAATATGCACCCTATTTGGAGGCTCATGGGTATTATAACCCCCTCATATGGGTTATAATTATAGTTATCCTACTTATAACCCACTTATAACTACCCAATGAACCTCCAAGTAAACCCTAAAGCCAGATCCCAGTACTGCATGATCCCCTTGACCCTTGGCCTGCTACGGCTTAGGGTTTAGGGTTTAGGGTTTAAGGTTTAGGGTTTAGGGATCCCTCCCTGGCTCTTGGCCTGCTACTGGTAGTCATGGATCAAGAAATGCCGGCGATCAACCCCTAGATTCAAGCCCAATCTACGCTAAGGGTCCATGTGCCCAACTGGTGTATACTTTGGCCTTGAAGTAGTCTCTACATAGGTACTTTGGGGCCAAAGTATATACTCATTTGGGTACACGGACCCTGAAACCCTAAACCTTACAGTACCCCTTTCGAACCTCTTACAGGAACCCCTATAGTAGAACCCTTGTCGAAACCCTTAAAGGAACCCATTTTGGGCACATGGACCCTCAGGGTCCCTAACTAGCCCTAGACCTTAAACCCTAAACTGACTCTCAACCCTAAACCTTAGGTTTAGGAATTCGGGGTTTAGGGCTTAGGGTTCCCGAACTAGCCCTAAACCTTAAACCCTAAACTCTCAACCCTAAACCTTAGGGCTTAGGAATTAGGGGTTTAGGGTTTAGGCTTTAGGGGTCCCTAAACCTTAAGCCCTAAACCTTAAACCCTAAACTCTCAACCCTAAACCTTAGGGTTTAGGAATTAGGGGTTTAGAATTTAGGGCTTAGGGTTTAGGGTTTAGGGTCGAATTAAGGGTTTAGAATTAAGGGTTTAGGGCTTAGGGGTCCCGAACTCGGGAGCCTGCATCCCACCCTGCTCGACGTGACCCACGGTTCGCCATCGACCCGTCGGCGCGAGGCCTCTGCTGCTCGGATAGGACATGGCTTGCGGTTTTTTTGTGGGTTTAGGGGTGTAGGGTTTAGGGTTTAGGGTCTACGTAGAGTACTTGGGGGTTGAGGGGTGTAGGGTTTAGGGTTTAGGGTCTACGTAGAGTACCCAAGATACCTCACAAAATGGAATTCTGCCTCTAGTTTCGGATCATGTCCGTTTGTGAAGGGTGCATTGGATACGCTTTGGATAGTCTAGGACGGTAGCTATAGTTCAGAAGTGATTAGGGCTTGCGCTGTTGATTTCTGTTTGGCGGGCGCCTATAGTGCTCCAAGTAGCTAAGTTCTTGGATGACAGACTGAGCCCTGGTGGTGCAATATCTCCTCAAGCCAAAGATTATCTACGCTAAACCCTAAACCTGAAGCCCTAAACCCTAAACCCCAAACCACACACCCCAAACCCGTCTACTAGGGCCACATAGGGTATCAGGCTCACGGTTCAGGGCTCTCGGCTTTGTGTTGTTGTTGGGTTTAAATGCTGTTCGGGCTTGAGGCTCAATGTAGGGGCCTTTATAATTAGAATAGGGTTGGGGCTCCTTTTAAATATTAGTATAGTAAGGAACCCTAACAGTAACTTTGGAAACTATTTAGGCTTCTATATTAGGGTGTCTCGGGTTTTCAGCTTAGGAGTTTGGGGTGCACGTCGCTCGAGAACAGTGAGGCAACTGGAGTTCAGAGTCAAGGGGTGGGATATGTACATGGCTGTTTGGGAACAAGGTTGGGATAACTTCGGCAGGGGCGCATGTGAATAAGAAACTCGCCGCTCTGGATGATGATGAGGCCTGCTGCGCGAGAGAACCACTCCCAGCTTCAAAACCCTAAACCCTAAACCCTAAACACCAGCTTAGCCCACTGGGCCCCAAGGATGCAATAATCAGGTACTCGGGTTTAGGATAGTAGCCATGTATTTGCAAGGTACTTGGACCCGTAGCTTATTTTCCAGCAAGGACTTAAAACAGGGATCCTAATAATGAAACCCTTAAAGTGCTTGTTTATCATGTAGCCTCGAAAAACACGCTTTCCACAATGAACAAATCACCCCTGTGATTTAAGAACCCAAACCCTGAACGTTTCTGAGCTGGAGCATCTGCGAGTTTACAAGGTATTGTAAGTGGTCGAAGGATTCTTGTAAGCGGGCTCCTGATAAGGGTTGCGAAATAGTGGTGGTCTTGTGGGTTTTGGTGCTTTGAGCCTTATTAAGGACATGGGGTTTGACGTTTCACTCTTGAAAATCATGTAGGGTTTATAGACCACTCTCTTCCGTGAACGTCTGTAGACTTATTCCTAAACCCTAAAAGCCTAAACCCTAAAACCCTAAAGACTAAACCCCAAAAGCTAAAACCCTATGAGGCCCTAAAACAACATTCGTCCCCCGCCACCCTCTCCCCCACTCTTGATGATATCAAATCCGCATTATACTATGGGAATCATGGAATATTCCATATTATGGGTAATGCAGGATTTACATCATCAACCCCACCTCCTAGCCCAGAAAGATCTACAACCAGACGCTGATCCTTTCTGCCAGCTTGTCTTCTTGGAGCCTCAATGTCAAATCCTGCCGAACCCCTTAGGGTTTAGGGTTTAGG